CCCTTAAAACCTTGGGATTGGACCAAAGAAAAGGTAAAAGTAACTTCCTCATTGGAAGTAGAACCAAAATATGGGCTCCAATGAAGGTATCTAGAATGATTGATCATCAGGTTCAAGAATGACCGGATGACATTCTAGAAAGAAAACATCCTCAATGAAGGTTAAACCGGAAGGATGGTCTCGATTGGGGAATGAAAAAGTTTCACAAATGAGTGGTATCGTCAAAGGATTGACGAAAAGATACATAAACTTGAGAGTCTTCATTAAAGGGTTGATGGAACAAAACAACAAAAGCAAGTTCGAAGGTACACAACCCGAGCTTGGAATACATCGTCAATGGATAAAGGGTGAAAGTAACAAAACATATCTGAAGGTACACAACCTTAGCTCGGAACACATCGTCAAAAAGGGTTGATGGCAAAATAACAAAACATATCCGAAGGTACACAATCTTAGCTCGGAGTACAACGTCAAAAAGGGTTGACGGCAAAAAAAAAAACACTCAGATCCGAAGGTACACAACCTGAGCTCAGAATACATCGTCAAACAGGGCTGACGGAAAAATAACAAAACATATCTGAAGGTACACAACCTGAGCTCGAAATACATCGTCAAAAAGGGTTGACGGTAAGAAACCAAAACATATTCGAAGGTACACAACCTTAGCTCGGAATACGTCGTCAAAAAGGGTTGACGGAAAGAAACCAAAACATATCCAAAGGTACACAACCTGAGCTCAGAATACATCATCAAAAACGATTGACGGCAAGAAACCAAAACATACCCAAAGGTACACAACCTGAGCTCGGAATACATCGTCAAAAAGGGTTGACGACAAGAAACCAAAACATATCCGAAGGTACACAACCTGAGCTCGAAATACATCGTCAAAGGATTGATAGCAAAAAACCATTTACCAAACATTATCAACGTCAAAGGATGACAGAATGAACACCTGTCCGAAGGAAAACATCGTCAACGGATTGACAGAAAGAATAACCCGATCTTGGACTACTTCGTCAAAAAGGGTTGACGGAAAGAAACAATGTCAAAGGATTGACAAAATGAACACCTGTACAAAGGAACACATCGTCAACAGATTAACAGAAAGAATAACCTGATCTCGGACTACGTCGTCAAAAAGGGTTGAAGGAAAGAAACAATTCAAATAGGAATCTCATCAAAGGGGTTAATGGACAAAAATGCATTTGAAAGTCGTCATCAAAAAGGGTTAATGACAAATGACTGATTGAGGGTAGCAATAATTGTAACCATAAAAGGTTGAATAACACCAAGGACAGATAAGCTTCTCGGGGGATATTTTCATCTATCGCAATGGAAAACAAGCTTCTCAAAGAGATTTCCACTTCTTGTATACTAAAAGTTGAGGAAAACACTAAAGGCAGATAAGCTTCTTGGGAGAGATTGGCACTTATCATTGTAAAAAGCTGAAGGAAACACCAAAGATAAATAAGCTTCTCATGAGAGATTGCCACTTATCCTCACAAAAATATCAATGAATAAACAAGCTTCCCAAGGAGATTGTCACTTGTTGAGTGTAAATTCCAAGGACATGCTGTTACAACAACATTGCTGGAGAAGAGATTTTGTCTTCAATGAGGATTTGTAAAGATTCTTCCTGCGAGACATTGTGCAAAGTAAATGCACGCTCAAACTAGGTTCAGTGACCTATTCTGGTTCGAAGATAATACTTGCTAGGGTCCAAAGTTCAATCTAGGAACAAGCTAGAAAGAAAAGGTCAAGTAATACTTTAACCATGGAGGAATGAACTATAATGGGATCTATCTTATCCAAACATGGAATAGATAACTGAACCAACCATCATCCACGAGGATCAAACTCTCTGGGGAATTTAGAAAGGATGGGAACTTTATATACTGGCCTACAAGTTTGTGGAATGAGGCATGTCCAAATGATTCATGGTTTGGGAGATATGATGAGCTAAAGTTGGGAAAAAGGAGATTTTGACATTCCAACACTTAGAAATTTTTCTAAGTGTAGAAAATCAGTTTGAGGTACCTACTTTCAAGCCCATTTTTCATGGTGATAAAAGCTTCAATTGAATTTTCCTACAACATGATAGTTGTAGAGCATCTTCCAAGCTTTCTTTTTAATACTAGATCATCTCCATTGGATATGCAGAACTCAAGTTATCATGTTCCCAAATTAGGATTCCAAAGATGTTAAGTTTGGCAAGTTGTTAGACAAATTTTTCAACCAAATTTCCAAGGCATTTTTCACTAAGTTCTTGATCTCAATTGAATTTTCCCACAAGATTTCTATCAATTACTAGAACATCTCCATTGGATCAAAACTCCTCAAGTTATGTGAATTCAAAGATGATGATCCAAAGATGTCAAAGTTCAATGACTTAGAAAATTTTCTAAGTTGTTTGGGACAGATTTTTAAACACAACTTCCACTCAATTTTCCTCATGCATCCAAGCTTAACTTCATCTTGATTTGAACATGAAAGTTGTCCATTATCCTTCCTAGTTTCATTTGAGCTTAAGACCTCACAATTTGAAGCAAAACCCATCAAGATATGGGGGTTCAAAGTTGATCATTTGGATTTTTTCTTAAGCATGACATATGATTGGTTTTGACCAAGATTATGAATCAATGTTTGCAGCATGCCCTTACCTCATGTCACACATATTTGTCATCATAGAACCTCACCAAAACATTACCAAATCAAGCTAAACATGCACATGTACCTCATGCACCACCTTTGGTATGTTTTGCCAAAAGAGCAAATAAACTTGCATAGAAAGAATGGTACCACTCTCCCACTTTGTAACCTCCCTCTCCACTCATTACACAGCCACAAAAACCACAACACCACCTCACATGGCTCGCCGTAGCACACTCTTTTCCTAACTACAAAAACATATTTTTACCACATCATTCACCAAATTATTTTAACCATGGTTACTCTTGTTTTTCACCTCCCAAAAACCTCATATAAAAGCTTAAAGAAACCCTAGATAGGAGGCAGCCACATTTCTCAAAACTCATAACTGAAAACTCTCTTTCTTCCTTAAATTTGTCACTTCTTCGAATCTCTTCATACAAGACTTCTATCTTCATTTCCTCATCACCATTGTCATCTACAAAGCAAAAGGAAGCCAAGGAGGAAGTTTGGCTAGGGTTTGAAGCAAGATCAAAGTTGCAGATTTGCATTTAGGAGGTAACTTTCTCTTTCCTTTTTCTCTCATTCTAGACATTCATCAGGGCTCATGTTGGTTGCATCTGAAGTCCTACACATTGTAGGCCATGTTTAAATTGATTTTGGGTTGTTTTGATTGAGTTGCAGAAATCACATATTTTATTAATGTAACAATTTTCATGGTTTTAGAGCTCTTAAAAATGAAAATGGATGTCATATTCTTGATTAGCATGGAAAATCCTTGAGAATGATGTGAAGTTTGTTGAGTTCTATTCCAGTTTTCAGTTTGCTTCGGTGAGAGTTACCGAAGAAGACGACCGGAGCCCTAGCTCCGGCGTCTGATGGTTATTACTGATGTGTTTGTTGTTTGACTCTGGTCAATGTTGATGTGTATGCTTGTTGGGCGCCATGTGGTGCTGACTCATTTAATGAGTCCACGCGTGCTTGTTTTTATTTTTGGTTTCTAATTGTTAATGGGTGGGCCTGGGTGTCTTTGATTTTCACACCCCTTAGTCTAAGCCCAATGCGCATCTCAGATACCATCGATCCAGATTCGGATATGGCTTGATATGACTTTGATAACCCTATTTATCAAGCTGAAGAAGAGATTGATGAAGATTGTGACCTACTTGAAGAAATGGCCAGGCTTCTGAAGCAAGAGGAAAGGGTTATTCTGCCTCATCAGGAGGATATTAAAATCGTCAACTTGGGTACTAAAGATGACAAGAAAGAAATCAGAGTTGGGGCTGCATTGGAAGACGATGTCAATGGAAGATTGGTAGAGATGCTTCGTGAGTATAAAGATATCTTCGCCTGGTCTTATCAGGATATTCCAGGATTGGATATCGATATAGTGGTGCACCGTCTACCTCTTCGAGAAGAGTGTCTTCCTGTGAAGTAGAAGTTGAGGAGGACTAGACCTGATATGGCAGTCAAGATCAAAGAGGAAGTCCAAAGGTAGTTAGACGCCGGTTTTCTCGCCATTACCAATTACCCTCCGTGGGTCGCCAACATTGTTCCCATACCTAAGAAAGACGGGAAGGTCGGGATGTGCGTCGATTATTGAGATCTGAATAGAGCGAGCCCGAAAGACGATTTCCCGCTCCCCCATATTGATGTTTTGGTTGATAATACTACTCAATACTCTGTGTTTTCCTTCATGGATGGTTTCTCTGGGTATAACCAAATCAAAATGGCCCTAGAGGGTGTCATACCCCAAATTTGTCCTACCTGTGTATAGCCTCCATTATGTATATCCACCCATTTATTTTATTAAAAAAAAAGGCCCAAAAATATGTTTTTATTTTCACTTAAGGATATCCATTCAGGGTGTAAGAAAATTTTATTTTGATCTCGGTCCAACAAGTCAAGATAATATGGCTTCATTCTCAGATTATTTGTGTCACGCTTTACAAATCATCAAATGGCCAAGATCAGGGTTTGCGTAAATTTCAGTGCTCATCAATTCCACATGTTCAGAGATTTGTGAAGGAAAAAACTTTAAGTTGGATTAAATTCAAATCAAGAACTTATTTAAGCCTTAGTTATCTCAAATGGAAATTCAAGAGTGGTAGAACCTATTTATGATTTTAATGGATCAAGCATAGGATTTCAAATTCCAAAGAATTATCAGGGCCAAGGCTTAGATAAGGTTTAAGGGAAGATTAACCGTGATCCACAAAATTCACTTCAAAAGCACTGCAAGTGTTGTTACAGTAACTATGAGGGATGATAGCATATGGTAACTGCGTAGTTGTTCTTGTTTTGTTCGCAAAATGAAAAGAACAAGAGTGTGAAACACACACATAACGATGGTGAAATCCAGCTCCTGTTTGAGACTAATCACATGCGGTGGTGGTGGTGGTGTTGATAAAGAACAAGATCAACAAGTTGTTTCTGAGGTGAAGTCTTTGACGGATTCCGAGGTTAAGGATTCTAATGATAAGCGCGGTTGGAGTTTTCGGAAGAGATCTGCGAGGCATCGTGTGCTTAGCAATACTGTGATAGCAACAGAGACTCCGACTTCGGCGAATAAAGAGATTTTGGAATATTCAAGTGTTAGTTTTCAATCTCTGGCTGAATCTATTGTTGTTGAAAAGATTTGTACGACAAATTTCTGTAGCGAGAAGCCTCAGTTATCGTCCAATGCATACTCAGAGGTGCCTGAAACAATTGTCACTGAAAATGAGGATAAGGTGGATGTCGATATACCGGAATCTGCTGTGATAGTCGTCCAGGCTTCCATTAGAGGATACTTGGCTCAGAGAGCACTGATAAAGAGTAAGAATGTAGTGAAGTTGCAAGCTGCTGTTCGTGGGCACTTGGTTAGGAGGCATGCTGTAGGAACGTTGCGATGTGTTCAAGCTATTGTTAAAATGCAGCTCCTTGTGCGAGCCCGACAAGCTCAGCAGTCACATTCAGATCGCAAAAATGAGCATCAGTCGGCCAAATCAAATGCAAAGCACAGTTCTGTGGAAAAGCTTCTCAGCAATAAATTTGCTCGTCAGCTGATGGAATCAACACCGAAAAACAAATCTATCCATGTCAAATGTAATCCTTCTGAAGGTGACTCTGCTTGGAAATGGTTGGAGAGATGGATGTCGGTTTCAGCGAAAGATTCTGCAGAAAATAAAAAGCCAGTTAGTACGACAGACCAATTGGATGAAACCCGCGATAGCACTCGTGTCTCTCAATTGGAAACAGATATTCCATCTGAAGTTATTCTTCAGTTAGCTGATTCACCTCTACCATCCGAGGACGAAGAGAAAACCTCTACTTACGATGATACGAACTCATACTTTCAAGCAAGTCCCTCTAGATCTTCTCTCATAAAGGATAAGTTGGAAGAGGGTCCTCCCGAAAAGACGGTTACAGATAATGCTAAAGAAGTCTCTCCTGAAATAGATTCTTTCCGAAATGAAAAAATAGATTCAAGCGCAAGTGTCCGACAGGATCCTGGTTCTCAGGATCGAGACGTTGATGGTGAAAAGTGCAAACAATCAGTTAAAGCATTTGCCTCAGACCAACTAGAGACCGAGGGAAAGAAAATTGCAAGTGTATCAAGGAAGTTAAGCAACCCTGCATTTGTTGCTGCTCAATCAAAATTTGAAGAGCTGAGTTCAAATGCGAATTCGAGCAGACCAAGCTATTTGTTTGATCAGGATGTATCTGTTGAATCACAAGCAGATACTGCATATATATCAAAAGAGTTCATCTCATCTGAGAATTCTACACCCTATCCTTCCAGAATTGGTGATCCTGAAAGTGGCACGGTACTCTCTATTTCTTCAACTCTTGATTCACCTGACAGATCAGAGACTTTGGAAAGCGAGCATAATGCCAAAGAAATATCAGGCACATAAGTTGTTGGTTAAATATCATTTGCCAAACAAAAGATGGTGCAAGAGTTGATACACCCACTTGCAGACTCATTGTAGTACCACCTGCAATATTACAGACAGCTCACAACTCACAACTCAGAATTGTTAATATCCAGTTATCATGCCAAACCAGCAACAAATCAATCCCCACATCGTGCCAAACTTTGCCCAACAACCAACAAAACCTACAGTAAAAAAGGACATTACACAAAAACATGACAAAATTAACATACAAGCTTGAGAGGGATAAAAGAGAAATTACAAAAGAAACCAACAGCAAGAAGCAAAGGACGAATAGTTAAAACAAATTCTTACCCACAATATTACCACCACTACTTGTACCATTCTGAAAAGACATTGAAATCTGTACAAAATTCAGCCCAGAACCATGTACCCTCTCCGTTTTTCATCCTACAGTGTAGCAAAACCACAACATCGTACCTTCTCCCAAATTCCCCAAGATACCCTTTAGAGCTTACATAAATATCATCTTCTCTCAGAGTAAAGGAGGGGGGCCTCCAACCGAAAACATAACTACTCAAAAACCCTAGCCGTCATCTCCTTCAAAGAGTTCCCTCTACCCTCAAAACCACACGAAAACCCTTCATCAAAAGGACCCTTTCCCTCCACGATACCTGGTTTCACTTTACCTCAACCTCAATTAGTTTCCAATCTTCTTCATCCCAAATTCTCACCTTCTTCGAACAACTTAAAAAATACCTAAACCGAATGAACCCAATCTTCAAGCTACCTCCACCATTAAAACTTCACACTCTTTCAGCCTTTTCTCCACGAAAATAGCAACCATGGAATAAACCCAACTTCATAAACCCAAAACCTAAATCCTCCTTCACCAACATTGAAATCCATCTTCATAACCTCAAAATTCTTCAACCTTAAACCGAAAGGAGATAAAGGGGGAGAAATGATCTGAAATAAAGCTGAGAAGGGGTTTCGAACCTAAGATCCATATGCGAGACAGATTGAATTAGAAGACGGTATTTCCTGGGCCGTCGCGACTTCTATTAAGGGTTGTTTGCTTGTCTTTTATTTGTGTCTTTGTCTTCTTGTTTCAACGTGAGCTTACAATCATTCCGTCTCAGATTTTTGTTGTTTTGGACTGATGAAGTTATATTGGAAACCTGCGTATTCTTTTTCTTCTCCTTTCGTTTTGTATGTAGAACGGGCACAACCCATGATTCATTTAGTCATCATAAATCATATACCTCATATCTGTGTTATACCCCCATTGTGCTTTCATTTGAAAAAAGGGATATTGGTTTTGCTTTGGGCTCAGTCCATATATCTTGTCCACATTTTGATTTCAGCCAAGCCCACTTTGTTTTCTAAAGTTTCTTTTAATTTTCACACCTTGTTAGGATTAAATTGTTATTAAGCACTTTATAATTCCCATTTTGTTTAATAATCTCACTTATTTTTTATTAAAGTTTTAGAAATTTTTGTTTTTTTATTATTCTTTAACTTCTTTTTAGGGTCGATGAGGATACCCTAAGTTATAACTTTGTCAAATTTTTGACGAGTAATGACAAACCCGAGACCGTTTTCTTTTTAACTTCTTTCATTTTTTTTATTTTATTTTTATCGATTTCTTGCTTATTTTGGTCAATGACAATTTTTAAATTATTATCGGTCAAAATTATTGATAGATGATAATTTTAGTCGAGACTTTTTACTTGCACTTCAAATTATCTTTTAAACATTTTCTCGAAAAAGCTCCAAAAGAGGGAGATCCTTGAAATCTAGCATTTCTTGGATCTTCGAATGAGCAACTCTCGAGACTCGCTCTTGAGTTGTTGTTCATTCAATCTTTTGATTTTCTAAAGCTTATTCTCAACTTCTTTTGATCAAAACCCCGAAAGAAAGAGGCACTTCGAGTCTAGCATTCCTTGTGTCTTCGAGTGAATAATTCTTGAAGCACGCCCTTTGAGTTGTTATTCACTCAACCTTTCGAATTCAATCATTCTCAAACGTTCTCCTGAGTCGAATGCTCATCCGCATTCGTAACCCATTTCATTCACAATTCCTCGTGGTCTCGATATTAGGAGCACCCTCAGGGGCTAATATCGTTTCTCGCAACTTTAACCCTTGACACGTCGTCAAGTCGGGTCCATCTTCGATTAAATCTTCGACACGTCGTCGAACTACTTCCAAACCAACCTTCTTTGTTGGCCTTGCATGCCATTCTTCGATTCGATCCTTTCACAAACATTTTTAAAACTTACGAAAGAGGGATATTCTCAGAATCTAGCATTCTTTGGATATTCGAATGAGTAACTCTCGAGGCGTGCCCTCGAGTTGTTATTAATTTATTCTTTCGATTTCAAAACATCCAACTCTTTATCTTCAATTTATTCAGTCAATTCCCGAAAGAACTGAGTTCTTGGAACCTCACATTCCTTGAATTCTTGAGTGATAAGCTCTTGAGGCGCGCTTTTGGGTTGCTTGTCAGTCACTCTTTCGTCTCTTTCTCAAATTCCTAACTTATTCAACCTCATCTTTTAGTGGTTGTTACCACAAACTACGGACGCTCTGATTCTTTATTCATTCTTGAATATAAGATACGTAGGCACAAGATTGCGATAATCTTGGCGAGCACAATCCCTTCCATCTTCCATTTCCCCCATCCTCTCCCGTAGTCGAACTACGACGCTCTGATTTCTCATTCTCGTCCGAATGAGCATACGTAGGCACAAGGGCCCCAATCCTTGGCGAGCACCCTTTTCTCTAACCACCCATCTCTCCTTCGCGTCTTTAACCTTTTAACCTACCAATTCTACCTTATCAACGAGAAGAAAACAAGTAAACCTAAACAACACTCCCCACAATTACCTTAAGAGGTTCCCGTCGAGTACGACGGACGCGAGGGGTGCTAATACCTTCCCCTCGCGTAACCGACTCCCGAACCCGGAACTTGGTTGCGACAACCCTGTTCCTATCCTTTTGTTTTTAGGAGGTTTTCTCGATATTTTCCTCTCCCGTTTATTTGGGAAAAATAAAGTTTGGTGGCGACTCTGTCGAACCGCATATCCGCGCCTTTCGCGCGAGGGTCGTATGTTCGAATGAATTTTCGAGGTGCGACAGGTGGCGACTCTGCTGGGGACATTTTTTTGCTCCATGCAAAGAGAGAGTCGAGCCTATCTTTTGGTTTGTGAGGAGTGTTTGTTTTTTATTTGTTTTCTTTTTGTATTTGTTCTCTTGTAGATTTTATTTGTGCTTTGTCGCCTGTTGGTTCTTGAGATGACATCATGAGTAAAGCTCTACGCCCGAGCTTTGGTAAAAGCAGAGAGAACACATAGTTTAGAATTGGTAGTTGAGTAGTGTTAGTCTCCGAGGACTTGCTCCTTATGGGCCTAGCATGAAAGCTCCTCCAGAGGAGACCTATTCGTAGATCTTGTCGTAACGCAGCTAGCCTGTTGCACGACTTGATTAACGAAGGGTCCGTGATTCTGGGAACCTTTTGTTAGCACCAGTTCCGATATTGGTGGTCGTGTAGTGTTAGTCTCCAAGGACTCGCTCCTTGTGCGCCTAGCATGAGGACCCCGCTCAGGAGAGACCTTATCGTCATTATCGTCGTAATACAGCCAGCCTGTTGCATGACGCTAATACGACTAGTGTCCATGATCCTGGGAACCAAACGTAGAAACCATCCCGTAAGTGGGTTTATGGGTAGAATGTTCAGACTTTCCCGTATAGGTTGTACCTGTCAAATCGTCTTTGAGCAGGAATTATGGTTACTTATCTATCACCGTTACCAGCTTCAGGAGCCGTTCGAACTATGATCTTGGGATCCTGGATCTTGTATCTTGCATTGCATCTTGCATATCATTCGCATTGCATTTCATATGTTGTGCATTTTGCATTTCCAGTCCTCCAACAGAATCTTATGTCTTCGTTCATTCCTCTCCAGTAAATCAAGTTGATTCCCGACACCAGTACACAATTAGAGCCAATACCAGACGATCAATGGAGCAGATTCGGCAAGAGCAAATTGCTATCAGGAAGGAGCTGGAATCCCTCAACAGAAAGATGGATCAGATCTTCGAAGCCCTCTCCATAACTGGAAAGGAGTCAGAACAGCAGACCGTTCAAGGACCGCGTCAGCAAAATCAATACAAGACATGGAAGCCAGAGAGAGTATTTGATAGTCTTCCAATGACATATGCAGATATCTTTGCTCAATTAATGGAACAAAGGGCTATCGTCCCAAGAGATCTAGCTCCCCCAACTGTCCTTCCTGCTGATTACGACGTGAATGCCCATTGTGAGTTTCATAAGGGCGCTCTAGGTCACAACATCGAGAATTGCAGGTTTCTCAAGCACAAAATTCAAGATCTGATTGACAAGGAAGCTCTCACCTTTGATGGGAAGTATCTCAGTGCCATCAACGACCCGATGCCACCAGCCAACTAGTGCTAACATCATATCAAGTCCAGTCAAGTTCATTCTCTGAAGAAAGCCGTCATGCTGCCATTTAATCTTTCGCATTTCTTGTATTTTGTCTTTGTGTGTTTAAGTACTGTATGCTTTGAACAATTGCCATTTCATATTTGGTTTTCATTAATGTATCGTTTATGCATGTTTTGAATTAGTTATGTCGTATTCACTCATTTTTCACTTATCACCGACACATTTATTCACTCCACTCTATTCCCTACTGTTTAGCATGATTTGAGGGAGGATGATGAAAACGAGATACCCATAATTGCAAACCGTATGTTTTCAGACAGAATCTCGTCAATGATGTACAGGCATTGTTTCAATTCCCCATATACCGGAGATATAAGGAGTTAATCCCTAGTAAACCACTTCGAGCCTAGAAGTAGCAGTTTCCTTCGGATATTCAAACCCTTGCACTCAACCTGGGACAGGGTAGTGTTCAGTTAATCCAATCTCGTATTCGAATCAATATCTAAAAGACGGTTGTTCATCAATGACCTATGCTATGGCAGTCACAACAAAAT